TGCCACTGTCTCTGCTGTTCCTCACTCCAAAAGGAAACACAAACTCTGAATAAGCGTCTGGAACCCCTAGAATCTCACACCACTCACGAGATTGGAGTAATATGCAACAATACGTTCTCTGCAAACCCTCAGGCAGGCCTATAAGACATTCTAGTCACTTCTTTAAGTTCCCTGGGGACCAGAGACTTGTAATCCTGCCTATGGAGCATGCGGTGCTACAGAGATAATAACCAGTGCAAGGACTCTAGCTATGCACACACTCATTGTACTGCTATCAGCTGTTCTGTTTTTCACAAGGAAATGTTTTTTCAAATCTGAAATGGAGACTAGATTCTATCCTAGAACCGGGAGATGTAGGTTCAAATCCACACACTCCATCAAGCTTCACTGAGCAATCTTCAGCCAGTCACGCTAGATGCACCCCAGGCTCTCTCTCTGAGCCCAGCCAACCTTACAGGGTTGTTGTGGACAAAATGAGTGTGCTGTGTGGGGGTGGGAGAACCATATCTGCTGCCCTGAGCTCCTTTCAAGAACAGCAGAATAAAATACTGTATATATATTAACAGTCATTAACATAAAAGAGCAGGCCAAAGTGGGCCCATCCAGTCCAGCAGCTTGTTCTCACAGTTGCTAACCGGATGCCTCTTTTGGGAAACCCACAAGCAGGATTCAAGCAAAAGAGCAACTCTCTCTTCCTGTGGTTTCCAGCAAAGGGTATTCAGAAGCACTGCTGCCTCCAACTGGGGAGGCAGAGCATGAGCTGGTTAATAGCCATCTATTGCCATCTCCTCCCAGAACTTGTCCCACTCTTTTAAAGCCATTTAGGTTGGCGGCCCTCAGTGCCTCCTGCGGGAACGAGTTCCGTAGTGCCAACATTAGGCTTCGCTGGCTGTACATGAGCTCTCCGTGTTGAGAGAGGGGGGAAACTTCCCTCGGTCCGCTTTCTCCACGCCATGCGTGGCTTCATGAACTTGTCGCTTCTTTCCTTCTCCTTTCCGCCACAAAGCTAAAAAGGCTCAAATGCTGCAACCTTTCTTGGGGGGGGGGGTCGCTCCACCCTCTTGATCATTTTGGTTGCCCTTTTCCATCCTTTCTCGAGTTGAGGCGAGCAGAACTGTGCACCAGAGTCCAACTGCGTTCGCCCCATAAGATCCATCTAACAGTATTTGTGGTACTAGCGATTTTCAGCACAGAAGCTCGCCCCGCTGCCTGAGAGGAGAAAAGGCCAAGGCCACCCCCCAAAAAATAATAATTCAAGAGGGGCGAATGCTTCCCCCTTCGCCTCCCCCCGCCCCGGTTTTTATGGGGAGCCGAAGGGTTTTATTCGCCCGCACAAAAGGAGAAAGAGAGGCAGCGGGGGAGGGGATAGCAGGCGGGAGGGAGGGGGCGCAACGTGGCTCGACCCCTCCCCCTCACAATAGGCCTCCTCACAGCCTCCCTGCCGGCCCAACTCACAGCGTCTTGGGCATTTCGTCCTCCATGGCGGCGGCGGCGGTTCCTCTCCCTCCTCAGCCCTCCAGCCAGGCCTGGTCACAACCGCGCCCGGCTCGCCGCAGGCCAAATCCGCGCGGGGGTGCGGGGCGGGAGGCCTCCGGGGAGCCCCGACGACGGCGCGGCGGACAACAAATCCGCCGCTGGCCTCTCAAGATGGCGCTGGTGGGCAAAGAGAGGGCCCGGGCCGGCCGACGGAAAGGACCGTCGGCGCATGCGCCGCAAGAAGGCAACCGCGACGCCGCCGACAAGCGCGCACGCGCGCTGGCGCCTCCTCGCCAACCGCGGCCGCTCTCTCGCGCCCGACGTAATCCTCCGCCGGCCTCTTTGCAGCTTCGTCTCCTTTCTCTTGCTTACTCTCGCGAGATTTCTAAGCCAGTCCGTGCGTCTTAGGTGCGGTTTAAATCTTAGGAAAGCTTAACCCTCAGCCCCGCGCGCGCAAATCCGGCTCCACGTCTCCTTTACAAATAAAAAGAAATGCGACTCCGCCCGCCCCGCCAAACTTGTGGAATACTGAATAATAATATTGCTTTGATTAGTTGTGGTGGTGGTTGGTTTTTGTGTTTTTTTACACAAAATGCTTGTGCGCCGCCCGGGAATCGAACCCGGGTCGCAAGAATGGGAATCTTGCATGATACCACTACACCAGCGGCGCTGACGAGAAGAAGGGTGGGAAATAGATCTTAGGAAGCAAAACATTTAACAACAAATCACAGGTATGCGAAGGAACGGTGAAAAAAATGGCAATGGACACTCGCCACTCTCTTGCCAATACTAACCCTTCTGAGCCTGCGTTCATTGTACCTGGGAATAAACCCCGCTGAATTAAATGGGACTGACTTCAGAGCAGACCTCTGCAATCCTACATTTGGAGTAAGATCCAGGGGGTCTCGCCCCCCCCAAATGAGGAAAACAGTGTTTATCTGGTTCTTTGATTATTTGCAAAATGCATACAGTACTTTTTATGCAAATCCAGTAGCATAAGCTCTCTGTGCAGCTTCCACTGACAATCAAAACAAAGGAATGCAAAGCAAGGTAAAAGACTATGAAATTAAGACCAGCATGAAATCCAATACTGTACACTTTTCAAAAACAGCATGAAACGAGCGCAGAAAATTAAACTAGTACAAGGAAACTCTGAGTAGCACCCAAAGGAAATAAATCTTAAAATTCTAAGAATACCCAGAATATTCTGAAATCACTAAGTTTTCCCCATTTATTTCAGTAGGTTTCATTAGTAGAACCTTCAACAGTTAACATTACTAATAGCCACTATGGTTCATCTTATTCAAACTTGTTTTCATTGAGTATGCAGAGTAGTTTAATATATTACAGCAATCTCCGTTGCAGGCACACACTAAATATTTTAAATTTTCAAAATGTGCCAAGGGCTGCAATCCTATGCAGAAGTGGGGTCTAGTGGGGCTGAAGAAGAATTGGTGATACCCAGCTTCAAATCTTCATTCAGCCATCAAGTTCACAGGGGAGACTTGGGGCTAGTTGCTAAGTTTCAGTCTAGCCAGGCCTACCCTATAGGGTTGTTGTTCAACTGAGATGTCCCCAATATGTGTGTCTCTCCATTTCATCAAACCCAGGGGAGATAGTTGTGCAGTTCTGGTCCCCTCATCTGAAAAAGGAGATTGTCAAGCTGGGAAAGGGTTTGGAAAACAGCAACCAAATTGGCCAAAGGGATGAATCAGCTCACCTAGGAGGAAAGTCTGTTCCGCCTGGCCTTTGGTTTGGACTTGGTCTGACTCTTATGTTTCCCTCCCCTTATGGTCTTGATTTATCAGCTATTTTAAAATGAGGCTGCATTTTAAATTGCATTGGGTGTTTTCTCCCTCTCTTTTCCCCCTAATATGTTTTGTTGTTGTTTAGTCGTTTAGTCATGTCTGCCTCTTCGTGACCCCCTGGACCAGAGCACGCCAGGCACACCTGTCTTCCACTGCCTCCCGCAGTTTGGTCAAACTCATGCTGGTAGCTTCGAGAACACTGTCCAACCATCTCGTCCTCTGTCGTCCCCTTCTCCTTGTGCCCTCCATCTTTCCCAGCATCAGGGTCTTTTCCAGGGAGTCTTCTCTTCTCATGAGGTGGCCAAAGTATTGGAGCTCAGCGTCACGATCTGTCCTTCCAGTGAGCACTCAGGGCTGATTTCCTTCAGAATGGAGAGGTTTGATCTTCTTGCAGTCCATGGGACTCTCAAGAGTCTCCTCCAGCACCAGAATTCAAAAGCATCAATCCTTCTTTATGGTCCAGCTCTCACTTCCATACATCACTACTGGGAAAACCATAGCTTTAACTATACGGACCTTTGTTGGCAAGGTGATGTCTCTGCTTTTTAAGATGCTGTCTAGGTTTGTCATTTGCTCTTCTCCCAAGAAGCAGGCGTCTTTTAATTTCATGACTGCTGTCACCATCTGCAGTGATCATAGAGCCCAAGAAAGTAAAATCTCTCACTGCCTCCATTTCTTCCCCTTCTATTTGCCAGGAGGTAATGGGACCAGTGGCCATGATTTTAGTTTTTTTGATGTTGAGCTTCAGACCATATTTTGTGCTCTCTTTCACCCTCATTAAAAGGTTAATTCCTCCTCACTTTCTGCCATCAATGTAGTGTCATCTGCATATCTGAGGTTGTTATTCCATATCCAGTTCTAACTGTAGCTTCTTGTCCCACATAGAGATTTCTCAGGAGACAGATGAGGTGATCAGGCACTCCCATTATGTTTTAATGTGATTTTATTTTATTGGTGTAAGCTGCCCTGAGCCTGGCTCTGTCTGGGGAGGGCGAGGTATAAATAAAATTTATTATTATTATTATTAAAGAAAAAAAGTAAGAGGTGAAATGATAGAAGCTTATAAAATTAAACAACATGTAAAAAGCAGGTAGAGAAAAGTTTCTCTCCCTTTTTCCCATGGGCATCCAATGAAGCTGAATGTTGAAAGGTTCGGGACACCTAAAAGAAAGTCCTTGAGCAGCACACAATTGATTATTATTATTATTACTGTAATAATAATAATAATAATAATAATAATAATAGTTTATAGCCAGCCACTCTGTACGGCTTCCAACAGAACACTAAAATACAATAACCTATTAAACATTTAATATGATGATGATGATCTGGGGAACTCGCTTCTGCAGGAGGCAGTGCCGATGGCCACCAACTTGGCTCTGCTCTGCCTCCAGGGTCTGGATCCCTGATGCGCATGGATCCCTGATGACCAGATGCGCCACGGCGGGCGCTCGAAGGGCGATGACTGAGCCAGCCGAGATGAAGCTCCTTGTCCAGAGGCAGTCTACCGGCCCAGAGCAGCTGCTTGGCGGGAGGGAGCCACCCTTTGCGGGCTTTCTTTCCGCGGGGGCGGGCGGGAGACGCGGGCCAAAACGCGGGTCAGGAATCCTCCCGGCGCAGCAGCAGTCTACCCTTCTGGCCCGCGCCGCCGCCTCCCGTTTCCGCCGCCGCCCAGAGGCCGCTGGGCGGGGCGCGGGCCCAGGAGAGTCCCTCCCCGCTTCCCTCCTTCCATCTTCGCCGAGCAGCCGCCGCCGCCATGGCCGCCCGCTGCCTGCTCCGCGCCCTGCCGCTCCTGGCCGCCCTGTGGCAGGGAGTCGCGCGGGGGAACCAGGAGCTGCGCCCCCCGCCCGCCAGGATAGGTAGGGAGCGGCGGAGGGGGGGCGGCTGGGGCCGGAGGAAAGAAAGGGGCGGCGGGGGGGGGCGGGGAAGGGGACCCTCTGCCACCTCGTTACCAGGTGCTTACTAGGCAAGGTGCTTAAGGGCAAAGACGCAAACACACACATCTTTGCAATTGCACCTGCGCGCACACTCGTGCATTGAGGCAAAGGTGCCTTGGAGCATGTGCAGAGCGCTCAGCTTCCAGAGTGTTACAGGCGTAAGAGGGGAAAGGCGCTCTGCAACTTGCCTTTATGATCTTGATTGCAATAGCCTTTGTTTTTGAAGTTGGGGTTCCCCACACGGATGTTGACAAAGATGAGATATAACAGAGTCGTCCCTTCATTTCAAAGGGGGCTGGCTCCCTGGCCACACATTCGTCCTTGGAGGTGGATCTGCTTTCAGGAACACCCAACTAAGTTTGGAAACTGAGTTTGAGATCCTCAGATCTTGCGGAGAACTTCAGGCGGATGCAAATTCTCAGCCCTGTGCCCCATTGTGATAGGAAAAGCTCTGTGGGGTGAATTTTCACATCCATGCAAATCACAGGACATTCAGCACGCATCGCTTCAGCATCTCATTAATGCAGACAAAATGCCACCTTTAAAATTCTAGTTTCCTTACTAGGAGACCATGGGCAAAAAGGGGAGGCCTTTTTACTGGGCCATGGCAACCAGCAGAAAATAGGGAAATGGGTTTTTCTTGCCACCCCTCCTCCTGAGCCTGGCATCATGTACTTGGGAGTTCACCCTTTGAGGAAACTCAATTCCCAATAACCGTGAGCTGCTACATGTGCTTGTGCAGACATGCATTTCACATGAAACTTCAGTTACGGTAGGTGTAAAGTTAAAAATTGTATTGAAGCAAATAATGCTTTGCTACACAAAGTTCCGCCAGCCCTATTGGGACATGACTTTCTGTGCGCCATTGACTCATGGGCTTGTGAAACATGTGCTGACCCTAACTGGAAACCCACATGTGGCTCTTTGAAACAAGCTAGTCCAGTTTTTCCTTTAGAAAATGCTTACACCAAACTGCTTACACCAGTTGGACAACTTATATGGGAGAAAGACCTGCACGTGCAAATAAAGGATTCTAAATGCTATGTACCATAATAATAATAATAATAATAATAATAATAATAATTTGTTGCCACTCTGGGCAACTTCCAACAAAATTTTAAAATGCAATAGTCCGTCAAACATTAAAAGCTTCCCTAAACAGGGCTGTCTTTAGAGGTCTTCTAAAAGTCTGGTTTTTCGCTTTGACATCTGGTGGGCGGGTGCCACTACCGAGAAGGCCCTCTGCCTGGTTCCCTGTAACTTGGCTTCTCGCAGTGAGGGAACCGCCAGAAGGCCCTCAGCGCTGGACCTCAGTGTCCGGGGAGAACGATGGGGAAGTTTTTAAAGTTTAATGTTTTATCATGTTTTTAATATTCTGTTGGGAGCCGCCCAGAGTGACTGAGGAAACCCAGCCAGATGGGCAGGGTATAAATAATAAATTATTATTATTATTATTATTACTCTCAGGAACTCCTGGGACATACCTTTATGGTAGATTGGTGATGCTCTTAAATGGCATGCAAGTTTTTCACAGTGATCGCACAGTGCCCTTGGCATTAAAATGCCAGTCTGCACCCCTCCCCCTGCTATTTAATCTAGATCTACTTTTTCCTTGAAATATCCAGTAAGTTTTTTAAACAAACAAACTGTTGTCAGAGACCTTTTAATCTATTCCGGAGGTCCGTTTGTAAACCAAAACAGGTTGTAACCCAAGGAGCACTTTCGCCAATGGGGCCTTCAAAAAAAATTTGTTCGTAATCCAAAAAAAAAAAAGGGTTGTAATCCAAAAAAAGTTCGCAAACCGGGACACGCATGTCCGGGTTTGACGTATTTGTAATCCAAAATATATGCAAACCAGACTGTTCGCAAACCAAGGTACCACTGTATTAAACCTCTGCCTGGACTTCCATTGCTCATTACAGTTTACAGTGGTACCTCGGGTTACATACGCTTCAGGTTACAGACTCCGCTAACCCAGAAATAGTACCTCGGGTTAAGAACTTTGCTTAAGGATGAGAACAGAAATCGTGCTCCGGCAGCGCGGCAGCAGCAGGAGGCCCCATTAGCTAAAGTGGTGCTTCAGGTTAAGAACAGTTTCAGGTTAAGAACGGACCTCCGGAACGAATTAAGTACTTAACCCGAGGTACCACTGTATTTAAGTGGTTCAAAACTCTTTCAGGCCACTGTGCCCTTGCTTCCAAAAACACATCCCTTGGGCCTGATCCAGCAGGGTCTTCTGATGTTCTTATAGAATTACAGAATTGTAGAGGAGGAAGGGACCCCGAGGGTCATCTAGTCCAGCCCAGTGCAATGCAGGAATCTCGACTGAAGCATCCATGACAGATGGCCCTCCAACCTCTGCATAAAAAGCTCCCAGGAAAGAGAGTCCACCGCCTTCCGAGGGAATCTTATGCAGGTTACCTTATTCTGAGTTCTGTTGAAAGGAATTAAATACAGGAAAATTAACTTAATTCCAGGTGTGATTGGAGCTGGCGTCGGGGGCACATCTGCAGCCTATTTCCTGCGCCAGAAGTTTGGTAAAGACATCCAGATTGATATCTTTGAGAGAGGAGAAGTTGGAGGCCGTGCAGCTACTATCAATTTGGAAGGGAAATCCTACGAAGCAGGAGGATCCGTCATCCACCCCCTTAACCTGCACATGAAACATTTTGTGAAAGAGCTAGGTATGGACACCTTATTTTCCCTAGGAGCAGGTTTCATCCCTGCTCCTTTGTTCTTATGCCAGTGGAAACTGTTTTGGTTCCATTTCACACCAATGAAAAGGCTACAGTGCAGCCTTCTCTGCCCACCAGATGTGTTGGATTACAATTCCTATCCACTCCAGCCAGTTATAGTCTAAAACATCTGGAGGGCCCAATGTCTGGGAAGGTTGCTATAATTAATTTGGAGGAAATGGGAGGGGCATTTTCTTTCTGGGGGTGCCGTGGTGCAAAGATCCCTCCTGCGCCCCTCCCTTCCCAGAGTTGACCTTTTTTTAGGGCTGGAGGAGGCGGGCAGCGGCTGGAGGGTGGCTTCTCTGGCAGGGAAGAGGCAGAGGCTGGATGCGGCGCCTCCTGGCTCAACTGGACGCCTTGTGCTGTGATGGCCACAGCAGGCAGCACACCGAGCGAGCTGGCCTGCGCTGAGCAAGCGAGGGTGCATGCGCCGCTCCCGCCAAGCATTGGCTCTGTTTTTTCCCTTTTAGCCTTCTGGCGCCCCGCAGAATTTGGCGCCTGAAGGCTAAAAGGGAAGAAACAGAGCCGACGCTTGGCGGGAGTGGCGCACGCACCCTTGCTCACTCAGCGCACTCATTTGGTGTTCCCCTGACTCTCGCCTAGCACCATCCAGAACTTTGCACTCTGGGACCCTGCGCCACTAGCCTTAATGGGTAAGATGGGGCTGTGCTTCTGTGTGTGACAAGTCTGGGTATCTCTGCTTTACTTCCTCTCAAAATGTAAGCTGTAAGCCACAGTCACAAGAATAAGATGGGTACATCTCAGGTGTCAAAAGCCAAGGTAAAGAGGTGTGTCTTCCACACTTGCCAGAAGCTTCTCTCCACCACAGAAAAGGCCCTTTCCTGGACTGCATCCCCCTATGCCATTCTTAGCACCCAAGTGTGTCAGTAGAGAAGGAGACAGTCTTTCATGTATCTGGGGTTGTTTAGTGAGTAGTTTAGGGCTTTAAATACTCATGTGAGCACCTTGATTTAGGCTCGGAAATAAACCAACAACAAGTGCTGTTGTTTTAAAACACTGGTTTTATGAGATCTGAATCAGATCTACGTAAAGTGTGACAAGTTCCGCAATACAGTCGTACCTTGGATCCCGAATGCCTTGGTGCTTGGATGTTTTGGCTCCTGAGCGCCGCAAACCTGGAAGTGAGTGTTTCGGTTTGCAAACATTCTTTGGAAACCGAACGTCCAACGTAGCTTCCGCAGCTTCCAATTGGCTGCAGGAAGCTCCTGCAGCCAATCGGTAGCCGTGCTTTGGTTTATGAACGTTTTGGAAATCAAACAGACTTCTGGAACGGATTCCGTTCGACTTCCAAGGTACGACTGTAGTCACATGGCAGAAAGGAAATGAACATTCCCCACCCTCTCAAGATTTCTGAAAAAGACACAAGTGAACAGCAGACTTAGGTAAAGGGACCCCTGACTGTTAAGTCTAGTCGTGGCCGACTCTGGGGTTGCGGCGCTCATCTCGCTTTACTGGCCGAGGGAGCCGGCGTTTGTCCACAGCTTCCGGGTCATGTGGCCAGCATGATTAAGCCGCTTCTGGCGAATCAGAGCAGTGCACGGAAACATCGTTTACCTTCCCGCTGGAGTGGTACCTATTTATCTACTTACACTTTAACGTGCTTTCGAACTGCTAGGTTGGCAGGAGCAGGGACCGAGCAACGGGAGCTCACCCCGTTGCGGGGATTCGAACCGCCTACCTTCTGATTGGCAAGTCCTAGGCTCTGTGGTTTAACCCACAGCGTCACCCGAGTCCCAGAACAGCAGACTTACTGGAGTTCAAATTTAAAAATACGAGTTCCCATTAAATCCTGTGTCTGATAGAGAGGCCTGTGTGCACCCATCCTTCACCCACCAAATCTCAAACGGATGCAGAGTTCTCACCCTGCTGCCCCAGTGTCAACTCAGACTTTCTCCCAGTTCACAAGCTGTGCTTTCAAACCTGCAGGTCTTAACGTCCATCAAAGTCAAGGTGGCCTTTTGGGCATCTACAATGGAGATGAGTTTGTCTTTGAGGAGAGCAGCTGGTACATTTGGAATTTTCTCAAGCTCCTCTGGCATTACGGACTGAATCCTGTGCGGATGTACATGTGGGTAGAGGATGTGCTAGACAAATTTATGAGGTAAGTCTGCCTGTCTCAATGCAGGCCCCCTGCCCACCCACCCTGGCAAGGCACCTATAGCCACTGCACCTTTCTCTGACACCTGTGGGGCTCCAGCCCTTGCCAGTACTTTTGAAACACCTGGCAAAGGCTGCCTTAACCCCAAACTGGAATGGTTTATTCCATGGGTAGGCAAACTAAGGCCCGGGGGCCGGATCTGGCCCAATCGCCTTCTAAATCCGGCCCGCGGATGGTCCGGGAATCAGCATGTTTTTACATGAGGAGAATGTGTGCTTTTATTTAAAATGCGTCTCTGGGTTATTTGCGGGGCATAGGAATTTGTTCGCTTTTTTTCTTTCAAAATATAGTCCAGCCCCCCACAAGGTCTGAGGGACAATGGACCGGCCCCCTGCTGTAAAAGTTTGCTGACCCCTGCTTTATTCATTCTGGCTAGGAAGTTAGATGTTGCCCACCTTTTACTAAATAATAATAATAATTAAGAGTACCAATAGGGTAGGCAACCTAAGGCCCGGGGGCCGGATGCGGCCCAATCGCCTTCTAAATCCAGCCCGCGGATGGTCTGGGAATCAGCGTGATTTTACATGAGTAGAATGTGTCCTTTTATTTAAAATGCATCTCTGGGTTATTTGTGGGGCATAGGAATTTGTTCATTTCCCCCCAAAAAATATAGTCCAGCCCCCCCCCAAGGTCTGAGGGTCGGTGGACCGGCCCACAGCTGAAAAAGGTTGTTGACCTCTGCCATATTCTCAGCGACCCTGTTAGCTAGCCAAGCTAGGAATGTTATCTCATAGGTTTATCCTGTGATCAAGAGGATTTATTGATTACACAAATGTAAAGGATATTGCCTGCCCTCTGCCCCCAATGCACTCTAGACTATGGACTTGTCAAGCTGGTTTCCCCAGCCACTCTCTGATACCTGTTTCTGACAGCCATTTCAAAGCTTCAGGAGCAAGCAGAAGAACAAGTCTGCAAAATGACTATAACCACCTGAGATGCACAGTGAAGTCTGTCTTTACCTGAGGCCCCAAATGGAAGAAGCCTACAAAGAAGAAATTATATATATAAGAAATCAATTGCTTTACTCCAGGCCTGTTAAAATATGCTCTCCCTTAAGCCTTGATTCACTGCCAGTATTTTCTGTCTCATTAAGCCAGTGTGCATCAGCATTATTAGGACCCCTTTTTTATTTGCTATTTACAATCAGGTACAAGGTGGGAGAAAGAAAAAAACCTGTCCTATGAACACTGCACACAGATTCCTAAATAAATACCTGGAAACACTAGCAAAGCAATCTGGGGTGCAGGCTTCTTAGCTGTCAGTCCTGTGCATTGGAATAAGTTGCAATTAAATTAGGGTCAGTATTCTTACGTGGTTGTGCATACTGGTGGCACTCAGCAAAGCAATAATGAACGTCAATTTATTTTCTGTTTGAAAACAACACAAAGCTTCTGAAAGGGCACCACCCAATATAAGTAAAGTCTTATCAAAAACAATACCAGTCACTAACTTTGTCTTCCTCCTGCACAGTCTTTGCTTTCGCATATTTTAATTATTTTTCCCCTTTTGCACAAAGGATCTATCGGTATCAGGTTTACGACTATGCCTTCAGTAGCAACGAGGGTTTACTTCATGCCCTCGGAGGGGCTGACTTCGTTCAGATGCTAAATGTTACCATTGATGAGGCCATGCAGAAGACCAGCTTCTCTCAGAAGTTCATCAATGAGATGGTGACTCCAGTTATGAGAGTCAACTATGGCCAAGGTGCCAACATCAATAGCTTTGTGGGTAAGTGGCAGTGCTTCTTTGCAGATTTGTATCTTGCCATATCTTGAAGGTTCAAGGAATTGAAAATAAAAGCTGCTGATTTTCATAATGCTGTTATACAAATCCATATGGTGTGCAAGTAGATAAACAGGTACTGCTCTGGCTGGAAGGTAAACGGAGTTTCCGTGCACTGCTCTGGTTCACCAGAAGTGGCTTAGTCCTGCTGGCCACATGACCCGGAAGCTGTACGCCGGCTCCCTCGGCCAATAAAGCAAGAAGGCTGCTGTGAGTTACACTCTCTGATTGGGCCTGCTACATTGTGTAGTCCCCAAGGACATCTATACAGGGCCTGGGTGCCCGTGAGATGGGCTGAGGCAGCCGCCTTGGGTGGCAGAATCCCTTGGGCAGCAAAACCCCTGAAGGTATCCTGCCCGCCCCTGCCAGGGAAGCAAGGAGCAGCAGCAGCGGCTTGTGACGAGACTTCACTGGAAGCCCCTGTGCAACCTCAGCAAGCGAGGCTTTGGCGGTGGTGGCACCTTACCATGTTGCCTCAGGTGGCAAAACAGGACGGGTTGCCCCTGCTCCTTATTTTGTTTTTTGTCTGTCTTAAATTATGGTTTATTGTAGATTACCTATTTGTGTGTGTATGTACTATATACATTGTGTAAAGTTTTATTCACACTTTTGTACACCCTCCCCCCCAGGAATCTTCTGGTGATAAAGAAATAATAAAAAGAAATATTCTAATATTAGATATACAATCTTCAAATGCTTTTTTCTTCACTGTTAGTTGTAGAGTTCTGCAGCTTTGTGTGAAATTTTATTATTGCCTCCCTGGTAGGTGCCGTATCTTTGGCAGGCGCCGATTCTGGACTTTGGTCAGTAGAAGGTGGCAACAAACTGGTATGCACTGGCCTTCTTTATGCTTCTAAAGCACAACTGATTTCTGGCACTGTTATTGCTCTGGAAGAGAAAACGCTGAAAAGGGGACGCTTAGGTGAGCTTGCTACAACATTCTTACACTTGGGATGCAGTAGAAAAAAATTAGAATCTGCTGGTTGAGATATATTGGTTTGGATAGGGGAAGTCAGAACTGGCTGGGTAGATGAAAGGAAGGGGCATAGATGTAGATAATAGAAGCCAGAAAGACTACTTGTATTTGAAACTACAACTTTTTTCCTCTTCAAAGCCACCTGAAATCTGCTGGAAAACTGACCTAGTGCTACATCAGGCGGATTACTCTTGATTATGTTTTAAATAAAGAAAGTGTTGCTTTTTAAAAAGTACTTTGTCTGTCTCCCAGGAGATACTGCGAAGCTGTATGAAGTCACCTACAATTCTACGTCAGGATTGATGTCAGAGCTGTACGACATCATTCTGATTGCCACCCCGTTGCAGCGTAAAATTGCCAACATAACTTTCCGCAACTTCAAGCCACCCATTCCCGAGTTCTCCCAGCCCTACCATCAGACTGTGGCAACGTTTGTCCATGGGCGCATTAACACTTCCTATTTTGGCTACCAGGATCCTTCAAAGTTCTCTTTAACTGCCATTTTCACAATGGAGCACCCAAAGTTGTTTATCAATTGTATTGGCATTGTCTCTCCAGTTGAAGATAAAACTAAGCCGCTTCTGAGCCCTGCTGTTTGGAAAGTGTTCTCACCCAAGCCTCTCACAAAGGAGCAACTGAATTTGCTTTTCTCGTCTTACGATTCTGTTGAAGTGAAGACGTGGCTTGCCTACCCACACTACAGCCCCCCAGAGAAATGCCCCCCTATCATTCTCCATGACAGAATGTACTACCTCAACGGCATCGAATGGGCTGCAAGTGCCATGGAAATGAGTGCAATCGCAGCCAAGAATGCTGCTCTTTTAGCCTACCATCGCTGGTATGATAAGGCAGACATGATTGATCAAGAAGATTTGCACGAGAGACTCAAAACAGAACTCTGAGGTAGAATACACACGGCGGGGGAGGAAATCTAGGTTGGTATACTGTATTTGGTGGGGTGGGGGAAGAGGAGAAGAGAGTGGATCTGAGGATTTAGCAAGCTGTATCAGACCACGTGGTGCATCATCTACTGAAAGCTCTTTTACTATATTTACAGGAAAAGATAGCAACGAGGCACAGTGGAGTGAAAGAATAGCTGTCTTTGAGACATGCAGCTTAATTAAGGATTTTACTTTGTTAGCAACATGCAAGAGCCATCAGGTGCTGGGCTGGGGTGGATTAGCAACTGACAGCAAGTAGCTGAAAGAAAAGGAGGGGTGACATTAAATGAAATTGTTACGATTTTCCCATCAGTATACTGATGCCCACGAATTGTGTATTGTCATACTGTCCAATTATGTATCTCCCTTTCAGAAGTCCCAATCTTATACACTGTGATAATGGATAACTCAAGCCATATTATTGCTAGACAAAGTAAGGTTTCTGATGTTTAGCTGCGTCTGATATAAAATACAAATGTAGCCCAAGAGAGGGGACTGTGTGTATTTAGTTGCTTACTAAGGGAGGCTACTTACAGTTGATCCAGTTGACAGCCTTTTGCCATGAGGTGCAAGACTGCTTTAAGCACAATCTAAATCCACTAAAAGTACGTAGTAGGAAATTGATTATCTTAAATGCACCTACGGCATAGATGCAGTTTATCTGATTCTATGTATTTCAGACTGCTTATGCTGCCCACTAGTTGCACATCAGGCACAATAATGTCGCAACATGCCTGGTAAAAGAGCATAAAGCTAGCACTGAATACCATTCTATAAAATTATGTGCACTGACCTTTTGCTAGTATTCAGAAATTCTGAATGAAATCTGGCAATTTCTTTTAGTCCCTCAGCAAAAGGAAGTATGTAATGGGTTCATCTTCGTTATCCCAATGTGCTCTAGCACAGTCTCTTCAAAAGGGTAAGGTGCCTTAATTGATGAGCCTTACTGCCAAAAGTTTAGTTTACTGCTACATGCTAGAACAATTCGTTCTGTTTCTCAGATGAAAGAATTACATGGAAGAAAACAGAAGAAGCCCTCAGTTTTATCCTGTTAATGCACTGAGAAGTCAACCATGTAGACTTCAAACCACCCTGAATTTACTTTCAAAAAAGTAGAGCAAGTTGATCCAATTTTAACAATTTATTTTAAAAAAAAATCACAGAGTGTGAAAAAAAGAGTGTGTCATGCCTGTAAAATCTACAATACAAAAACAAATGTCCACATTGTAGCTTGTTCCACTGGTTTGTTTATACTCGTTCCAACGCTTCTAGCATAATGATGCTGTTTCCACGTATTACCTAGAAATAAAAACACTGAAAGTTAAACACCAACCAAATACTGCCAAGTGGCTTAAGGAAGAAGATTATAGACTCACAAAAGGGACCTGTTTCCCACATCACGAAAGACAGCTGCAGAAAGTCACCACACTTCAGTGCTTAAGCTTTGTTATTATTATTCCTACATTATTTGCTCAAAGCCTTTTAAAGGGCAATAACAAATAATAATCATACTCCGGAGTTAACCCACTGACAACTCAATTCATTATAATTAGTCTATTTATGATTATGACTAACAGTGAACATCACCCAAAGCACCTTAATCTTCTAACTTAAAATACCAAAAATAAAAGGCAAGTCATCACCTTGTACTGAAAGGACAAACTCTGTGCCAGATGAGCTTCCTTAGGGAGAAAGTTCTGAAACTGCAGCGCAACCACCAAAGTTTATCTCATGTGTTCCTACCCAATTAACTAATGAGAAGAGAGAAAGCCGAAAAGGGCACATCTAAGATTTGAGAAGTTCATGTGGAAAGAGGCAGTTCTGAAGGAGTCTAGACACAAATCATACACCTTGGCCAATGTCAAGGTACCAGCTGTCCCAGGAACATGGGACAAGAAAACAAGGGGTTATGGAGAAGTCAGAGAAGAGCCTTCTGCAAGAGTTAAGAAAGATCCACAGCTACACTTAAGAATGTAAGAAGAGCCTGCTGGATCAGGCCAATAGGCGTCTGGTCCAGCATCCTGTTCTCACTTGAGCACACGAGCCCACTCTTCTGTGGTTTCCAGTAACTTGTTTTCAGGATTACTGCCTCTAATATTATTTTAGGTTGGTCTCTTTATTTTCCTCATAACTCTTAAGTACACACACTCACTGCTCTGGGTGACCTCATTTTAAGAAAAGGATGTTGCTGAAGATCCAAAAGTGCTGTAAAATCCTTGAGGCTAAAAAGATATTTTCATGAAGAAATGCAGTTTGAATAGTCACCCAGAGGAAGCCTTTCAAACAGATCCTAAAATTCTTACTTTGATGAGTTCCAAAGCCACTGTACCACTTTTTGCCAAGTATGAGTAGAGCTCTGGTATACTCTATTGTGAACAAGTCATTTACAAAAGAATATGGATATTGCCTGCCTTCAGTGCAAACATGCCTTTGGAGCAGTATCCTGGTGTTCTTCAGAAGTGTTCTGTGAAAGTGGGTGGGATGTGGGACTTAGGAGGTTTATTTTGTCTACCTCTTTAGTTTAATTCTTGTTCTTTTTATCATAGTAGCTTTTGTAAGCTTTGAAAATTAATAAAACAAAATAAAAAAGTACTGCAAGATTTTGGATTACAGTTTGGTATAGGACCAGGCAAAAGTGCAAAACCATATAGATGAACTCCTGCATATTAAAAAAAAACTAACTCAAAGATATTTTTCTAGAAAATGCTTTTGATAAATTCTCAAGTACAATGGATGACATTAGCTTAGCTGCCTTTCTCGATTTCTTTTTTTTAATAAGATATTTATTAAGATTTTCAAAATATTACAAAATAAAAATAAAAAAGAAAATACAAAATAAAAATGGTTAAAAACAACTCAATCTTTCCATTACTTATTTTTCATTAGCTTGTTTCCCGGACCTCCTCATGCCTCCCTTTTTTGTATTCCAGTTCGGTTTGTTGGTTCAGCAAATCCTTACCCTCTTTGTTTATCCTAGTCTTTAATCTTAAAATATTGTAACGTTAAATTTTTACCTATTAATAATCCATTTTTCATATTCCCTTATAGTATTACAGCTGAAAACCACTTAATTTCTATCCAACATCATTCTAACATTCATTAATTTTACAATATTTCTGTAGATAGTCTTTAAATTTCTTCCAATCTTCTTCCACCGACTCTTCTCCCTGGTCTCGGATTCTGCCAGTCATTTCCGCCAGTTCCATATAGTCCATCACCTTCATCTGCCATTCTTCCAGAGTGGGTAGGTCTTGTGTCTTCCAATACTTCGCGATGAGTATTCTTGCTGCTGTTGTTGCATACATAAAAAAAGTTCTATCCTTCTTTGGCACCAATTGGCTGACTATGCCCAGGAGAAAGGCCTCTGGTTTCTTCAAGAAGGTATATTTAAATACCTTTTTCAATTCATTATAGATCATCTCCCAGAAAGCCTTTCTCGGTTTCAACTACTTTTAAAAGGTTAATTAATTTCTACTTACCACCATCCCTATGTTGTTCTGTTGTCCTCCTGGTGCCATTTCCACACACTCATCTATTACAAGATTCATAAATGGATCAAATCCTCTTAAGATTCCTTGGACATGCCGGCCACCATTTAATTTCACTGTAAGGAACAGTCAGGTTAGTTTACTTCCTCTTGGTACTTTATCTTGACTGTACATTTGCTATGTCCAAGGCAACATTTATGGAATTAAGATGGACAGATATGTAGGTAGTCTGTTTTTATCCTTTCTTGCTCACAATTGTGGAACCCAGTTCAAACCAGGGGAAAGATGTACTACTCACTTTCATACGTTTGTTTGGCAGCTGGCTGTGCATCACAGGGAATCTAGGCTACTTTCCTGACGAGATATATGGGATACAGTCATACCTCGGGTTGCGAATGTGATCAGTGTGGGAGGCACGTTCGCAACCCTCAGCACCGCGTCTGCATACACGCATGGCGCAATTTGGCGCTTCTGCGCATGTGCCAAAACCCGGAAGTAACCCATTCCGGTACTTCCGGGTTCGGTGCAGTCTGCAACCCTAAAACACGCAACCCACAGCGTTCGTAACCTGAGGTATGACTGTACTGCTACAGAAGCAAAGAATGGGGGAAGTGAGTGCAGGTTGCCATTCAGCACAAGTTAAGACGACAAGAGACAAAGTAACAGTCCCAGTAAAGTTTTCCTCCCAAAACGCAGCAAACAAAAAAAGGCCATTCAACTTACATGACAGCTTCTTGTCCATAAATCTGAAAATTAAATAAGAGTGAATAATTAAGCATCACAGCAGTCAAATTCATCTCAACACAGGGAAAGGGTGAGTTATATGTCTTTAGAAAGAAAGAAAAATAGAAACAGATATACGGCCTCCCTAGTTCTATGATCAATTCACCCTAAGGAGGAAAACGACGGCGGTCCCGAACCACGTGCTGCTCTAAATTTTCGTAGCTCTATGACACACACGCGCGACGTGCGGTGCATGATGGGAGCGAAGAGGCCCAAGCGCTCGCCCGCTCGCGGACTAACGGCGGCCGCCCCGCGCTCTTCCTCGCCTCCTTCCCATCGGGCTCCCCGGCCCCCGCCGCCCCTGCCGCGCTCCCGGACTCACTTCTTCAGCTCCGGCGGGTGTGCTTTGCTCATCGTGTCTCCTCACAGGCGGCTCCGGCGACGAGCGTCTTCCTCCCGCCTTAGCACCGGTCCGGCGTATGACGTCACGGCGCCGCTTCAGCTCTTCCCCAATCAGGAGGTGCCTGTTGCGCCGGCGCGGACGACTAGCTCAACGCAAGGGCCGCCTGCAGGGCGTGGACTACCTCGTCCTCGCCACCAATCAGCGCAGAGCCCACCGCCGCGGTCTGCCCTCGGATTTCCGCCGCCAACCATTCAGCGGCCGAGCTGCTTCCTTTACGGATGGGTCCTATCGACTCGTTTCCCCCACGTGTAAAGCAACAGGCCGTGCTTCATTTGCATTATGGTTTATTTGCATATATGCTAATATGTTTATGTATAGGGTTTAAGTATTTTATTTCAGACTTCCCATTGCATCCCAGCTAGTGGACAAATAAGGACTCCATTATGCCCTTGGGAAATAAAGCCACACGTTTACTTGAAAGTAAAACTCATTTGTGCAGTGGGTTTTACTTCTGAGTAGACAGGCAAAGAAGCGAGTCTGCCTACAATCTAGAGTATACTCAGTGCTTTTTTTCTGGGGGTACGCAGAAACATTTTGTGAATCTTTGTACTTTGGTCCATTTACTGTATTTATTTTTCCCAATTTGAACTATAATTTTTCTTGAGTCAAAATGAGAGTACCCCTAAATATTTTTTTTAGGAAAAAAGCATGGAGTATGTTTATTCTGAAAGCAAGTCATATTGACATCATTAGTACTTTATAGTAAAAGCGCACAGGATCTCTGGCTGCATGCGGTGGAAGTTAAACATAGAAGCAAATGTACTTACATGGAAGCAGTTTCTATTATCACATCCTTTTACCGCTGCTGCCTGGAATAATTAAAGGTAAAGGTAAAGGGACCCCTGACCATTAGGTCCAGTCGCAGCCGACTCTGGGGTTGTGGTGCTCATCTCGCTTTACTGGCTGAGGGAGCCGGCGTACAGCTTCCGGGTCATGTGGCCAGCATGACTAAGCCGCTTCTGGCGAACCAGAGCAGCGCACGGAAACGCCGTTTACCTTCCCACCGGAGCGGTACCTATTTATCTACTTGCACTTTGACGTGCTTTCGAACTGCTAGGTTGGCAGGAGCTGGGACCAAGCAACTGGAGCTCACCCCGTCACGGGGATTCGAACCGCCAACCTTCTAATCGGCAAGTCCTGGGCTCTGTGGTTTAACCCACAGCGCCACCCGCATCCCCCTGGAATAATTACCATGCTTAAAATGCTGTCCCTATTCCTGTGATTGTAAACTGTTTTAACTGTTATTAATTCTAGATTCTAAATTATTATAGCCTGTCCTCATCTGCTGGTGAGGGGTAGGTAATAAATATAATAATAATTCCCCTAAATGCAATCATAGGCTACATTCACACCATACATCTAAAAGCATATGGCTTTCCCCAAAGTAAACCAGTTCCCAGTCCTCTTTGTGGGGAATTGTGTGCTTTAAATGTATGTTCTGGATGTGACCACAGTTTATCTCCCATGCATCCACCCCCCCAGTACCCATACCACTTTTTCAACACAGCTAAAATACCTACAATACACAGTTTTCATTTTTAAAAACCATTTTTAATTCAACCTTAAGAAAATAATTCACAGTTTAAAGAAAGGAAGGCAGAAATAGGGGGCTGGGGCTTTGTTAATTCTTGGAACAGTATTCCTGCAGCCCCAAAGGGTCATTGTTGTTGGAATGAGCACACCCACATTCACAATAAATGCTGTTTGCTGGTCAGCATTTTTCTGGTTGTTGGGCCTAATCCAAGCACTCACAGCTCTACCTCCTACATCCGAAGGGGGAAACATTACTATTGGATTGGAAGGATGTAGTGCTAGTTGGTTCTGCAGCAGGGAATCCAAACCCTAATTAAAATTGTTACAGAATTCAGACGCAATTGAGGAGAAACTGTTTCAACACTGCAGCAATACTGTTGATCAGCACACATAAATTTTATCACATATATAATGCATTAAACAAAAAAGTATGTTTTCAATGCAAGGGTAGGAATTATTGTTTCGCTTGCTGAGGAGCCAGGTGGGGCTTTTATATGCCACATTGTACTTGTCCCACTGACATCTTTTAGTAGAATTGTTATGCATAAACCTGAACGTGACACTTGAGTCTTCAAAGCTTCTCCATCCAAATTTTACAGCACTCCAGCCCTCTACAGTTCCCTGCACCCCTTAGAGGAAGACACAAAAAGCTGTTGGCCCCTAACCTTACCTCCTCTTTACCATGATATACCTTTAAAGTCATATATCTGAAGTTATTTTAAATATTACAAGATAGCAAAAGCAGCCATGAGAACTTCCTCCCAGGGACAACTTTGTCTGCTAGATGCCTTATTGTAACATCTCACAGGAGTGTACAGGGGCAGCCTGCCTTTCAGATGTTTTGGACTACAACTCCCATCACCCTTTCGGCTGGGGCTAATGGGAACTGTAGTCCAACAACATCCAAAGGGTACCACGCTGGCTGCCCCTGCCTTACCACAATACATTCACTGCTTCTACAGCACACAGGTCAATAGCTGCCAATGAAAAAAAGGATGGAATAATTATTTTGCTTGGGTTGGGATCCCACAGTAGGTTCCACTGGGAAAATGTTCCTCACAATTGCTGAAGGTCTTTGAGCAGGGAAGAAGAGAAGGGAGTTGAAGGACTGTGGGTGCTTTGTGGCCAACGAAGGATTTCCCCCCACAATACAAGGTTTTAATTTAAGAATCAAGTTTTATAAGTGTTTAGTTTGGGGCTGACTTTCAGAGTGAGGAGTGCCCAATAAAAACAAAAAAACAAATGTTGCCGTGTCATTCCAATGCCCAACAAAACAAAACAAAACAAAACACACAGAGGTGTTTAAAAATCCATTGAAAGCCACATTTCTGATTTAATTAGCAAAATCCAAGTGGCTTGCTTTACAGGCTGCATTTTGCATGGTGGGGAGGTGTCATAAATGCCCCCTTCCTCACTGGGTCGGTAGAACTTCCCCTGCACACTGAAAACTAGCATTTCAGTGAGAAAAATTGAGCCTAACCTTCTCCCAACCTTCCCCATATGCATGGTTCCAATTTGCTCTTCTTCCACACTGGAAGCCTTTGAACAAGCAGTCTGAAGTGGTAATGTCCAGAAGGATTAATACTAGATTCTGTGGAAGGCATAAGGATCCCCTCAGCTTTGGGGAATTCCTATTTGGGGGCAGTTTGGTTTCAGCACTGCTATTTCAAAAAATGTAATATCAAACCATCTCCTTCCGAAGAGACCACAGAGACAGAACTTCTGTGTGTCTATATTTGTAAGGCAGCTTAAGAAAGAGGCGGACAGCCAGTAGCTCTGTCTTGTTGAGACACCAGGTAGCACCTTCCGGATTCCCCTCCCCACAACCAACTTTGCTACAAGGTGGGGAAGAACCAGAACAAAAGGGTTTGACAGGGGTCTGTGCACACACACATCACTGATGCCAAAGGAGCCTGTTTTCTTTTACACCATCTGACAATCTGCAGCCTTTCTCCCAAACCAAACCCTAAATTCTCAAGCACTTCAGGAGGCCATGAGTATACATTCACACCATAAAAAAGTCACTCTGGACACACCCCATGTTTTCTTTCTATGTTTCCAGAAAGGGTAATCACGCCCATCTTAATTTTAATTGATTATCTCCCTTTCCCGTTCCTCCGCAAAGCCAGGGCGTTTACTGGGCAATGCTGGCCAAGTTCTCCTTCATCTTTTTGGTCATGCTGGGGATGAGGTGCATGTGGTCGTCCACACACTTTGTCACGCAGTTGTCCAGCTGCAGTTTGATCTGCTTCTCTTTGCTCCCTGAATCTAAGGAGTCCTTGGCTTGGTCATTACAATGCATCGTGCAGCGGGCAAGGCGGTCCTATAATGAGCAAAACAAACAAACAAACAAACACAGAAATCAGAGGTGGGCAAGGCTAAGAATAAGTTACATTAACAGCCTTCATCAGTGGAACAAAATAACTTGAAAGCTGCCATCCAAACAGGACTCTGAAAGAGCTTTTAAATGATTGTTTCAACAACAACAACAACAATAGATTTGTAGAATTGGAAGGTATCTCCAAAGGTAATCTAGTTCAACCCCCTGCAATGGCAATGCAGGAATAAATCAAGGCTACATTCACCCCTTTAAACAGTCCTGTCTCCCCCCCTCCCGAATTCTGGGTGCTGTAGTTTGTCAAGGGGGCTGAGAGTTGTTGGGACACCCCTAGTCCCCTCCCAGTGCTACACTTCTCAGGGTGGACCACTTCTCGGGGAACTCTGGGAACTGTAGCTCTCCTAGGGGAATAGGGGTTCTCCTAACACAGGTATCCAGAAGGCCAGATTTGATGAAGTAAAGGGCTGTGAGGGCCGACCAAAGTTATTAACCATTTGTTGTTGTTTTTTAAGGACTGAAGTTGTTTTCTGATTTTACCCCAAAGTCATTGAGCTTTTTTTAGGATTGAGGTTGTTGAGGTTTCTTTTTAGGATTTTACCCCAGGAAATAAGCTGCCACAGGGGCCAGATTAAACCAACCAGCAGGCTGGATTAGGCCTCCAAAACAGACTTTGGACATGCCAAACTCGGCCCTCCAGATGTTTTGGGACTACAATTCCCATCATCCTTGACCACTGGTCCTGTTAGCTAGGGATCATGGGAGTTGTACAGTGGTACCTCAGGTTACATACGCTTCAGGTTACAGACTCCGCTAACCCAGAAATAGTACCTCGGATAGTACCCAGAAATAGTACCTGAACTTTGCTTCAGGATGAGAACAGAAATCGCGTGGCAGCAGCAGTGGGAGGCCCCATTAGCTAAAGTGGTGCTTCAGGTTAAGAACAGTTTCAGGTTAAGAACAGACCTCCGGAACGAATTAAATACTTAACCCGAGGTACCACTGTAGTCCCAAAACATCTGGAGGGCCAGGTTTGCCTATGCCTGTCCTAACGACTCAGCACTTTAAACAAACTACAGATCCCAGAATTCTTCGGGGGAAGCCATGACTGTTTGAACTGGTATGATACTGCTGCAAATGTATGCTGCAAATGTGACCCAAGACGTGCATTTGTTTAAGATGCTAAGCACATGAATCTGGTGGTTGAGCAATCCAGACCATTGCCCTCTCGAAAGATAAGAGTGCAACCCTGAAGGGTCTGGCAGATCGAGACCAAAGTCCAACTTCCCACTGACCAGCTACTCTTCCACCTACACCCACCCCCACTTTTCTCCTCACCTGAAATCTCTCCAGCTCTTGGGTGACCACTGCCTGCGCCTGAGCCAGAGGCGCATGGCAGCGCTCAATGCACTGGTGCACTTGCTGCATGGAGGCCTTGCTGTTCTCACAGCAGGTCGCGCTGCACCGGAACATGATTCCCTGGAAAGAGCCAGGTGTCAGTAAGATAACCACAGAAGAGCCACGCTGGGTCTGGCCCTGCGACCCTCTTTTCCCAGCCAGTGGCCAGCCAGGCGCTCCTGGGAAGCTCACAAGCAGCAAGGGATGCGGGCGACAGCCCTCCGCGGTTTGCCCCCCAGCAACTGATATTCAGAGGCGGACTGCCTCTAAACATGGTTGTTCCACTTAGTCATCCTTCTCTTGTCCACAAGATTCTCTCTAGCAGCAGGGAAGAAGAAAATCCTGCTCCGTAGCCCAGTTTTCAAAGAAACAGTCCAATGGAAAGGAACTTGTGGAACAGTAGGGTCACAGGGTGAGCAGAGGGACTACAGTGGTGCCCCGCAAGACGAATGCCTCGCAAGACGAAAAACTCACTAGACGAAAGAGTTTTCCGTTTTTTGAGTCGTTCCGCAAGACGAATTTCCCTATGGGCTTGCAAGTTTGTTTCCTTTTTCTTAAAGCCGCTAAGCCGCTAATAGCCGCTAAGCCGTTAATAGCCGCTAATAGCCGCTAAGCCGCTAAGAAAAAAGAAAAAAGGACAATAGCCCCACTTCACGGAACACAGTAACACAAACATCCTATCTCCATCACTTCCCACTTTGTGAAGTCAAAACATACACCGTCATGTGAAAGACAACAATCCCATGACTGCAATCATGGAGCAGGAATTCTAACAGTAATGTGGCAAATAATGGCCCATTCTTGCTGGGGTGCCTGCCTAACCTGGCGCCCTCCAGAACTTGCAGACTACAGCTTCCATCTGGAATGGTTCAGCCACACTTGTTGCGGCTGATGGGAGTTGTAGTTTAAAGCACCTGGCGGGCATCAGGTTGGAAGGCTGTTGCTTGGGGATTGCAGAAGACCCACCCGCACCCTGCCTCTCTGCCCTCTGACCCCTTCAAGTAGATCACCAGGGAGGGACCTAAAATCAGCACAATATCTATTATGCATCGCATGTACCCTCCCATTTCTGAACACAGATGATTTGAGAGCCTGCTGGATCAGGCCAAAAGGGGCCTCCTGTTCTCCCAGTGGCCACCCCGATGCCCCAAAGGGAAACCCGCAAGGAGGACCCGAGCACAAGGGCACCCTCCCCTCCTGCGGTTCCAGCAACTGGGGTTCAGAAACATCGCTGCCTCCCTGGCTAGCAGCCCCCGACAGCCCCCTCCTCCTCCATGAATTCGTGTAGCCTAGGCTGGTGCCCTGAGGCAGCGAGTTCCCGCGGCCCGCCGCCCTTCCCGGGGCGCATCCCCACGTGCGCTCCAAGCGCGGCCCGACCTGCATCTTCCGGATGTTCTCCCGCTCCAGCCCCTGCACCATGCCGTCGATGGCCTCCTGCACGCGGAGCTGCTGAGCCTCGGCCATGCCGCCTCGCCCCGCGCAGGGAGGAAGGTCGCCTCGGCGGCAGCCCGGCCCTCTCCCCGCCCCCGGGCACTGCTTCCCGGGTCAAGGCGCGCCGGCTTCCGCGGAGCTCGCCCGCCTGCGCAGCTCCGCAGCAACCTCGTGCGCCCGCCGCCCGGCACTGCAGGCAGCCGCTCTGCCGGGGAGGCCGCTCGCCTGGCCCAAAGCCGCGCCGGTTGGATTCCTGCCAGCCGGGCTCTGCTGCCCCAAGCCGAGCTAGGAAGGTCCGGGCGAGGCGTTGCCGCAGCGGGAGCGCGGTGCTCCGATGGCTCTGCTCCGCATCCGAGGTCGGAGGCAGGAATGCTTCTGAATCGCAGTTGCTGGAAACCGAAGCGGGGCAGAGGGCTCTTGTGCTGGGACCCTGCTTGCGGCTCTCCCATGGATGCATCTGGCTGGTCCAGGGTGGATAAAAAGCAATGATTAAAAAAAGAAATCGGATATTTTTTTTAATCGGATATATATTTTTTTAATTTAAATCGGATTTTTATAATAAAATGCTTTTGAGGAAAAAATATTTCTGTTTTCTATTTAAGTTACATTATAGTCCAAAGACTATTCCTCAGGAAATAAGGATTTGTTTTAAGTTTTTCATGTGTGCTGAAACTCAGTCTAAGTTGGTTTTTAAGGAAATTGTTATTAAGGAAATGATTGTTTTTCTCCTTCCAATAAAGTACAGCAGAAAAGTTGTCCAAATATAAACAGTTAACTCGTTAAACCTAACAATAATTTCACAATTATCTATGTATTTCTAATGGTATAACCAAATCAGTAGATTTTAATATAACTGTAAAAACTACTCTGGAAACTTATTGTTTCAAAAATGAAACCTTCATCTGGTTATAAATATTAAGATTATACCAGCAGGAACGTTTTTCTGTAAATATATATATGATTCAAATCAAGTCTTACTGGCTAGTAATTTAAATCATGATTTAAATCGATTTGATTTAAATCAAATCCACCCTGGGCTGGCCACTGTGAGAACAGGACGGTTGCACTGTGCATAGCGATCATGGCTAGCAGCCATCAATAGCCTTCTCTCCCCCCCCCCGCCCCCGATTTGTCCAATTCTCATTTAAACCTCTCCAAGTCATTAGCCTTGCTTAGGCGCTCGAAAGGGACTTCTGTGTGTGCGCGTCGAATGGAAGTGGCATCCTCTGGACCTCTCACAGTATCATTTGCACAAGACTGCACATGTGCACACTCAAACACACAGGATGTTTCACATGGTGCAGTGGCCAGGGCAGCCTTTGCCAACCTGGTGCCCTCCAGAGGCTTTGCACTGCAATTTCCACCAGCTCCAGGTTGGCAAAGCCTGGTTCAGTGTCACGTGGACAGGGATATCTCCACCTAGCCATGAACCTGACTGGGGCGACCTTAGGCCCATTGCGTCTCACACCCTAAGCTACTTTGCAAGGTTGTGGTGAAGATGAGCAGTGAACCCACTCTTGTCTTGGACAAGAGTTGGTCCAAAGAATGATTGACTATGCTGAATTAGACAGCCTATCCGAAAAATTAAAGAACAAACCAAGGAAAGAATTTATTTCAAAATGGGAAGCATTTAAAATATATCCATTGTGGCATTTGAATAATACCAGCAATAGGTGTATGATATAATACATTTTGAACTGATTTGAGATGATAGCAATAACATGTATTGGCAGCAAAGAATGGTAATTAGATTTATGGAGTAGATAGGAAGTCAGATTTAAAAGGAAGAGACCATTACGGTTTATGGATTATGGAATTTATATTCTTTGTAATGTGCGACTGATGATATTCTTATTATGGTGTAATAGGTCTTTTTGTTGTTGTTTTTGTTGTTATGTGTTGAGCAAATAAAAAAAATAAAAAAGAAAAGAAAAGAAAAAAGAAGGACAGTGAACCCTGTGCTTGAGCTCATGGGATAGAAATGTATGAACAAATAAAATGGATAGATAGCTACAAATAAAATAAAAAAACATTATTGGTGGAAATGGCAATGACTGTCCCGTACATTTGACTGGTGTTGATGTTCTAACTTTTTAGTTTTATCTTTGTTATGTTTTGTATTATGTATCCAGTTTTTTTAGAGATTACCTCCTGCACTATCTTTTGACAAGGCATCTGGTAGGCTCCCCACATGCACTGGAAAAAGTGTGTGTGTGTTTGCAACGTATTACAGCAACACGTCTCTCTTAGGACTCATCCACACTTCAGTTTCCTGCTGAATCGGAACAGATGGCAAACAGGTTGTGCATGGATTGTTGTTTCTTCCAGTCGGAATGCTTGGACCCAACCCTAGGAAGCATGGGACAAGTGGGGATCTGGATGAGACCCTGATGTCTGTGCTTAGACCCCTGTGCAAATGACCCCTTGGAGATCAGGTGCAAAGCCAGTGGCTGTGACCTAAATTCTGCCCCCCCAAAAACCCCACCAATTTAGGCACAGAAATAAATATCTGGCTGCAGGGGGTGAACTTCCTTTCTGTTGGTGCCAGCTACCTGATGAAGCCAACCCTGAACGCAGGACTGAAAGTACATTGTACACCAGTCTCCCACTGGGGGGCAGGATTGCCCTGAAATAGGCACAGAGCGGCTTTCCTCTTGAGTTCCTACCCTAAACTGCTTTCCAAGGAGAGGATTAGGCTGCCCTGGGAATAAAAAGGTAGAAAAACGAGGGAAGCGAGCAAGGGCCAGAGACCCAGCCTCTTCCTCTCAAGTATTTTGGAAACATCCTCTCTGTCCAGCTGCAAATGCTTTTTACACATATATTGCACCTCACAAGTTGTGTGTGCCCATATTCATTCAACTCACACTGATTTGCCAGGAGTTATTTATCTACATTATTATATATTTATTATTTGCTGTATCTATAAGCCCACCTTTTTTCTCCAAGGGGCTCAAATGGGGTGCGCATGGCTCTTCCCCACAACACACGCTTCATCCTCACAACAGCCCTGTGAGGTAGGTTGGGCTGAGAGGCAGTAACTGGCTAAAGGTGAGCTTCATGGCTGAGCAGGTCTCCTAGGTCCAATACTCTAACCATAACATTTCCAAATGGCGGGTGGTTTATACTATAATAGCGCTCCTGATTTCTTTTCTGACAGTCTAGTTTCTAGCCCTCATGGGTGTGATGCTAATAGACCTGAGAGTGCGCATGTCAAAATTTCAGAAGCTGGAAGGTTGGCTAAATATTATTTCCAGTGTGGTGGGGCAGCACTGTAAAACAAAACAACAAACTCAGCAAATCTGATTTGCAAAGATGTTGCAGGTTAATTTCTGTAAACTGCAGAGGGGATGGCATGTGTGTGTTCTTGCTGCAAAATCTTCTCCAACCTGGTACCATGGTGATGTTTTGGGCTACGGCTCACATCAGCCCCAGCAGCATAAAACCTGGAGGGCACCAGGCTAGGGAAGGATTATAGTCACAAGGAATTTGGCCTGGTCCGATTCCCCTGGACCAGGGGGCAACAAGGAAGGTCAATTGCCTAGGCACCATGGAGAACGCCAAGTGATCCACCTGCTCCTACAAGAGTTGGGAGTGAACTGAGGCCTTTTGAGCCTCTGCCTCCTACAAATTCATCTCTCCTAGTTTCTGGAGAGCAAGTCACATCTACACTGTACATTCAAAGTGCCTGCCTTCCCCGAAAAAATCCCACCATGTGCTTTATGGTGTGGATGTGACTACTAGAGTCTCCTAGAGGGCACGTCTCCTGTGCTCCTGGCCTCTTGCCTGCCGCCCTCCAGATTAGGGGTTGCTTGATCACCAGCATCCAGGGCAAAGGCCAGAGATGATGGAGCCTTCGATTCACTGTCCTGGTCACTGTGAGACTTCAGGGTCACAAGAGCCACTCATGCAAAATAATTATTTTGCTCAGGGATTCCAGTTGTGGGGATTTCAGGAAAGGCATTAGTCAGAAAACGATGTGATAGGCAGAGGAAATGAAGTCAAAGGCAAAAGAACCTGATACTACAGAAGGGGATGAATGAACAAAGGAAGGAATGAATCACAAATGCATGTTTTCATGATCCAAATAAAGACTTAACTAGGAAGAGGTGGATGCCCCACATTGCGTCACAGACTGAGCAAGACTAAAATAGAGATGGGTTGAATCAGCTGCCTAAATCTAGAGGAGGCTTTCCTCTTTCTAGGAAAGGTTAGGGTTCCTGCTTCAAGTGAGATGAGCGGAAGAGAAGAAAATGTGAGCCAGGCAGAATCGCAGGAACTCCTGAATCATTGCTGCTCCACCTTCCTCCTTAGCACGCTCAAGTTCTTCCTAATTTTGTCTTCAGTACTTTCACTTTTTGCCTGCCCTTTGTATTTGAGGCTCTCAAATTCCAAAAAAGGCTGCTCTGTGTGTAAACCCTGATACACACAAGGGGCAGAGACTGGCAGTGTTTCAAATCCTCAGTGATACACTGGGCCATAGATATTGGTCATAATATAGACATGGAAGCATGGGGACGATTGTGGAATTTGGATATAAAATTTACAGCATGTTATGGTTTAAGAGAAAATTATATGAAAATGAGATATTGTTGGTATCTAACACCAAGTAAATTGGCAAAAATGTATAAACCTAAATCAAACAAATGCTGGAAATGTAAAGAGAAAGAAGGTTCTTTTTATGAGATGTGGTGGTCTTGTAGTAAGGTTAAAGCTTACTGGGAAATGATATATTGTGAATTGAAAAAGATGTACAAAATAACTTTTATTTTAAAAAAACGCCAGAACCTTTCTTTTGGGAATTATAGGGACAGAACTACCTAAATTGTATAGAAATTTATTTAGGTGTGCTACTACAGCAGCAAGAATGTTACTTGCCCCAAAATGGAAAGAAGAGGAAGTCCCTGTAAAAGGAGAATGGATACAAAAACTTATGGAATATGCAGAAATGATGAAACTTACTGGAATAATAAGAAACCCCTGCCCCACCCTGCCTCCCTCCCTAAGGCTCCCCACTGGAGGGGAGAACCTTGAGGTGTGATCAACATCTTCCATCACTTTGTGTAAAGGGGGTGGTAGCACAACCAACGCAA